GGCGGGGGCTGCGGCCGGGCCTCCCCCAGCCCCGGGGCGCCGGAGGAGGAAAGTCGCTGCGGCAAAGGCGCGCTCTCACCGGGGAGGTCTCCCGCCCTGTGCGGGGAAGGGCTGCCGCGCCTGCCGGGGCCGCCTCCGGCTCCAGGGAGGCTCCTGCGCTTCGGGTTAATTCGGAAGTTAATTCTCTAATACGGCGAGCCTTGTAGGAACTTGCTCCAGTGGTCACTGGTCTTTGCCACTGGTAGTCTTAAATTATCTTTTTTTTTGGTTGGTTGGTTTTTTTGATTCTACAGAAACGTTTTTGGTGAAATACCTCTTCCCTCCTGCCTCCCTTGAGCTCAGAATTTGCATTAGATTGCACCAAAATGTTCCCTTGCAGGGAAGGATTTTGCATCTTGGGGACGGATATGTACGTGATGCATATAGCTTATGCAGTGCTCTGTTTAAGCTCGTGGACAATGACAGACAAGTTACTGTAAGAAACCGTAGCTGGGAAGAGAGAAACTGAAACGGGGGTGGTTATAGGGCCTCCTTCCCCCTTCGGGGGGGGGGGGGAAGCAACAGACAAAACTCTCAAGGGTTATAACTGGAACAGAAAAAGGTCTTTGGTGTTAGCGTTTGTGATTCAGCCTTACATTATAATGGTTACCAGCAGCCTCATTTTCTTTTTATGGTCATCCTGGTTTCCTGGTTGCATGACACTTCCATTGGGCCACTGTTCTTAATAATTTAACCTTTTATGAGATTGTTTTGATTTACAGTTAGATTAGAGCAAGACTGAAAAAGTATGATATCACCCGCTGGCTATTAAACTCCTTTGTACTGCGCGGAAAGGTCTCAGTTGTTTAAAATGTTGAGAGAAAGGTTCTTTTTTTTTTTTTTTTCCCCAGCCAGCTAGTAATTTTCTAATTTTATTTTTACTTAAGTGAAAAATACCATTCAGATATTGTAACTTCACCATGCTGAGCTATGCAAAATCTACGCTGAGTTTTAGATTCAATGGTTGGCTTGTTTGCTTGCTGGAGTCCTAAGTCATATAAACTATGTTGAAAATAGAATTAAAACCACAACTCAACATGTGCCTTGCCTCTGTTTGTTTTTTTGTGTCTAGTCTGAAACCCAGAATAGCCCGTATTACTTGTGATTTCCAAAACGACCTTTGAAAATAAGCAGTGGAATTTAACACAGTCTTTCTAGGTTTGTCTCAGCATCTCAACTTGTCCAGCTAATCAATACAAACAAATCTATATTGAGTTGGCTAGGTGTTACTTGATTTACCTGAAACATGCAGCTTTGTGCTGTAACTCTCAAAATAGAAGCAAATGTATAATTTAAATTTGAACAAAGAATCATTACCAAGCAGCCTTCTAACATACTATAAACTGGACCCGTCTTACTCTGCCGTAACAAGTTTAGCTACGCAAAACTTCTGAATGAAGTAAACTAGTTTATTAGCTTTGGACAACATTTCAAGAAAACTGGGGGGGCTGGCTATAGCCAGACAGTGTTCTTTGTACTTATCCTGCAACTTATGAATTGGTCTCCATCAAAAGCTCAAAGCCTTAATTTATGTTCTCAGTTTTCCTGATCCTTCTTCTAATCTTCGGGGATTTGAGTATCAAGCTTCCCGGCTTTGAATAACAAATCATTTCACTATTTACACTATTAAACCTCAGAATAATTCTGCGGGCTTGTCGGGATGCTGTTCAACGACATTTTGGCAATGATAACTGGCAAGTGGGTGAGTGCTGGGGGCCCCGAAGCTGGGGTGAGGTCCTGGCCGGCCGAGCTGCCCGCTTGCTGCTGTCAGAAGAGGGAGACCTTGCTCTCCCTTCCTTGCCCGCTGCCCTGCCCCACTGAGTTGGTTCAGCTCACCAAGCCGGAGGACTATTCCCTCTCTCTCTGGGTTAATTTCCTGCCATTTTGGGGAGCTCCCTGGGAGGCCAGCTGGGTGCCAGGGGCAGCAGAAGGGGAGCTGGGCAGCTGTGGGGCGGGGGGACGGGGAGGGCCGGGGGAGCCGCTGCTTGTAGCAGCAGCAGCAGCAAGCTGGCAGGGTGGCTTGGCTGCCTCCTGAAGCCTCCCACCGCTCACAAACAACAGAAAAGCAGCAAATGTCTTATGGCAACTGCCATCGCTCTGTCAGATTTTTGTTAGAGATTAATGAATTTTATTTGTTTCTAAGCAGGGCTGTTTTAGAAATGAAAGAATTACAGAAGTTTAGAAGCGACAGAGGTCCCTGATCATCCTCCTGGTTCATTCCTTTCTAATGCAGGATTGCCGTGTCATTTTCTTGCCAAACGCCTTCGTTCCTATTAGGAGGCTTTGCCTTAAATTTGTGGGCTTTCCCAGAAAGGCAATGCTGAAGAAAACATAGTATGACTGTGGCAGAAGGCAACATACCTTTCGTTCAACAGCTGGAGTCATAAAATAAAACCCCTTAAGACTCCTTAATGAATCGCACTTATGCAAGTATCCTACTGGTCAAAGTCACAGCAGCCAAAATACAGATGTCTGTCCAGTTTCTCAGTTTTGGATGCCTGTTTCCAGATTGAATTTTGAATTGTGGATGTTATCTTAAAAAAAAAAAAAATCAGACCTTAATGATCTAAGTTGGTTGGACAAAACTGATGACAGGCTTAGTTTTGTTTTAATATGGAGCTTTTGAGCCATATAGTGTACTGATGCAGGATTTAGGATTAGAAGCAACTTCAGTCTCAAAATCTGACATCCTACGTAATGTGGACTGTAGTATTTGTAATTGAGATTATAACCTGCTTAGTTAAAGTTCATTTTCCAGAAAAAAAGAAAAGTCATTATGGAGATTTCAAGAAATGGCAAATACGCCTTCTGCTACCAGTTGTTCTGGTGTAATTACCGATCACCTCTTGGTTAAATGTTTGAACTTGATTTTTCATTTCGATTTGCGAGTGTTCCAGCATGACATTGCTGGTTCTTTGCCTTCTAAATTAGTTTGGTATCATCTGAATCCCTAGGATTTAGTCAGTCATTTACCTTTGTCTATTTCCTGTTACATAAATAAGAAACACTGGGGCCTTACAGGGGTGACACTAGTAGGGTCAGAATAGTTCAAAAAGCCAAATGTGTGTTTTCTGTGATCATGTTCCCTGTGCATCATAAGGGAAGTAGCCACAGCATCCCACATACCTGAACACAAGAAAAATAAATGACAGTTGGCAGTGGGCTTGCTCAGAGATCAGCAAGTACACTGTTCCAGGTATCCCTGTGCTCAAGAAACTGTATCTCTGCTTTGTTTGAAGGTAACGTTAGCAACCTCGTTCTCGCCTTGATGCTCCTTGCCTTCGTGTATGTTCAAGTACAGTGTTTCTCCCTCTTAGGTCCTCTCTCTGGGAAGCTCAGGACATTGAGAGCTTCCAGGATAAAACAGCTTGCGCTCTTTGGTGTTGCTTCTTACCGCATCCATTGCAAGTTAGGAAAATGGCTGAGGTTGAAATGGAGCCAAATAATTTTTAGCAGAAATGCATCGGGACCCTAGCCGCAGCGAACAACCGCGTACTTCCCTTTGGCCGCTTCCACCACCCGGGTGAGGAGCAGGCCTGTTTCAGACAAGCAGCATCCCAGCCTTGCTGGTCTGAGTTGCCTCTTGTCCAGTGAAGCGGCTGCTCTGATCCCAGACACGAGGTGAAGTCACGGATTTCACCGGCAGCCTAATCTGATCTCAGACCGTGCCGCCGCCGTTTGAAAACTAATACTGGAAGTAAGACTTTTTTTTTTTTTTTTTCATTCTTCACTCTCAGCCAGATCAGTTTGCTGAGTGCACAGCCTAAGGAATGGTGCAGAAAATGTGCCGAGGAGAGAAGACTATGAAAGCATGCTGCTGTCACGCAGACTGCCGGTGAAAGCCCTGCCTGCTGGGTCTCTTTCCATGAAGGCTAAACCAAAGTAAATTGCCATAGCTAAGGTCCTGCTGTCCCCTCTGCAAGTTCCTGCCTCCAGCTGCGTGGTTTTGCCTCCTGTTTGCACCCGATGCTGACACTCACCTCTTCCTGGTCAGCCAGATCCTCTCCCAGCGCTGGCAGAAACCCTGGGTAATTTTTCCCTGAATTGCTTCACTGAGTCAGCCAGACGAGTAGCAGAAAAAGGAGGCAGGGTTGTGTGCCAAAAAGTGGGATTTGCAGCCACACTAGTTTAAATTGCCTTTAATTGTCATGAAGCCACGGCTGCTATCTCATCTAGCAGATAAGATGCTCTGTAAGAAGGTTGGTCCAGGCAGTGGCCCAGAAAAAAAAAAGGGAAAAATAAACCTGCATGGCTGTTTGCACCATGGTCAGCTCTGGAAGTCCACAAGCACTAGTTTTCCTTCAACTCGAACCCTGGGAACTTTTCAACAAAGCTCAGAGCCGCCTGTCTATGAGTCGGTCGCCGAGCTGCTCCGCCGCCGGTGCAGCCTGTGGGAGCTGCGGAGCCCTTGGGGCTCCGGCCCGGCACTGATGGAGCCGGGTCTGCTGAATGGGTGGGTGCTCCTCCAGGCAGCTCTCCGCAGGAGCTGGCCTTGACCGTCCTGCGTCTCCCTGCAGTTGGGCGCACGGGAGATACGATACTGCAGGGATGCTCCAAAAACACATGAAAGCCTGCAAAGTGCTTAGGAATGTTTTGGTAAAGAAGTTACAGATAAGCAAGTTAGAAATAGCGGCGACTCAGATTTTTTTTCAATGACACTGTTACTGTTTTGCAATCATGTGGGAGCCCTAGAGAGGAAAATAAGCTAGAGACACTGGGAGTTTTAAAGGGGACATTCTCCTACATT